GTTACTACGTCCTACGTCTCGTGGTACGTGTAGTGGTAGGTGTAGTAGAGTAGTGTCGTGTGTGTGTGTGTGTGTGTGTGTGTGTGTGTGTGTGTGTGTGTGTGTGTGTGTGTGTGTGTGTGTGTTTGGTAAGTGAGTCATCAAAGAAGGGCAGAGGCCCAGAGGAACTCACAGGCTAGATCCTCCCCCGCTCTTCCTGTTTGGGCTGCCAGAGACTGAGCGGCAGCTTTTTCAGCAAGATGTAACCCTGGTGTTTCAAAGGTCTTTGTTCCTGAGCCGGACCTCACAACCACACTTGGACCAGAGGTTCTAACACACTGAAATTGACAGAATCACCTGGGCTGCTTGTTCAGTGTGGAGATGTCTAGGGCTGCCTGCACCCTAGTTTGCAGATCTGCTTCATACACCACACACCTGGGGAAATCCTCATCAGGGTGCCAGCTTCTTGCCAAGGGCAGTGGCAGGCAGAGACTCCTGAATGCCTGGGGAAGGAGGCAGCCTTAGAAAGAGATGCTGAGCTCAGGGGTCAAGCTGCAGGTGGTGGGGAGAGTGGTGAGTGGAGAGGTGGGGAGGAAGCACCTGCTGGCTGGAGGTGAGCAGAAGGCTGCGTCTTGAAGGAAGCTGCACTAGGCAGGGCTGCTCAGTCTTGGTCGGCTAGCAATAGAATCAGTGGGACTTGGGAAGCTGGGAGCTGGAAGCATCAGGCCTGCAGATAAGCAGCTTTATATTTTCCTTGAGGGGATTTTTCTGTTCATCTGCAGTAATCAGAGGAGGTACTAATCAATACTTTCAAGAGGAACTCAACAAGCAGAGCTTGCTAGAGCTCACTCAGAGAACCAGACAATCTCAAGGGGAGACTAATGTAGTAGCTCAGGGCAGACTCTAGAGCCAGGCCTCCTGGGCTCAAATTCCAGTTCTTACATGCGTGACCTCGGGCAACTTAACTTTTTATGCCTCAGTTTTCTCTTCTAAAAAACGGGGCTAATAATCATCCTACTTGATTAGGTTAAATCATGAAGATTAAATGAGTTATATATGGAAAGAAATTAGAACAATGCCTGGCACATAGTAAGCCCCATGTAAGCATGTGCTGTTGTCATTATTGTTATTTTGAAAGTAGAATCTGGACATAGAGGACCCAGAACCCATGGCAAATCTATTTAGACTCTTGCTACTCAAAGTTTGGTCCACTGACCGGAAGCATCAGTATTACCTGGGAGCTGGTTAGAAACGCAGTCTCAGACCCAGCCCTGAACGCACTGAATCAGAACCTGCATTTAACAAGAGCCCCAGGTGAACAGTGAGCTCACTGAAGTTTATGAAGCACTGCTTTAGAGCACACAGGAGACCCATCAGAAACTTGGCCAGAGATTGGGCTAATTTGGGGAAGGAGGCCAACAAGGGTTAGGCTGCCCTGCATTGGGGGTCCTCACAGCCTGGAAAGCCCCCAGAGCCTTGTCAGCATGGGTGTTTTACACTGCCAGGGTCCCTACACATCAGTGTGCTGGGACAGCCTGGTGTCCAGGGCCACCGTGGGGGAGCGGTGGCTGAGGCCACCCCTCCAGGACCCTGGGGGTGCCAGGAGGTCAAGTGGTGGTTTGCTGGAATACCAGGAGCTCAGGAGGTGGTCCACCTGCTCCCCACTGGAGACTGCGCGCAGGTGGGTCTTCCTGCTTTCGCCGTCCACGTCCTCGAGGGGCGCGGGCATCTGGGGGAGCTCGGGGCTCCTGCCCGCGGAGTCCCGGCGCAGCCCACGCGCCCGCATCTCGCTCTGCATGCTGGCGAAGAAGTGCAGCACGCAGCGGTGCGCGAAGTCCCGCGCATGCTCACAGCACGTCTCGTCGAAGAGCTTCTGCTCCAGGTCCACGTAGTTGCTCCAGTATCTGCGCTGCAGGAAGACTGTCTGGTCAAAGCAGGGCCTCAAGCAGCGGGCCAGGAAGGCCATGATGATCAGCAGCAGGGTGATACTCCAGCCGATCGCCTGAAGGGTGGGCGGGGCACAGGTACTGTACAATGTGGCGAGGCTGATCTAAAGTCTCTCTTCACTTACCCCTCCCATCCTTCCTCACATATATCCATCTTCCTATTTAGTCATCCATCCTACTAACCACCTCTGTCTATCCTGCCCCCCATTCACTGTTCCATCCTTGCATCCATTTCATCTGTCCAACTACTTCTCCACCCATCCAGCCAGCCATCCTCTTATCTGACTAAATATCTATTGCCTTCCTATCAACCAACCTTCCATCTGTCCATCATCCATCATCCTATCAGCCATCTGTCCTCCCATACATTTATGTTCCCATACTCTCATCCTTTCTTCCATTTATTCAGCCATCCATCCACCCGCCATTCATTCCCCCAACCTTTCTCCTGAAGGGAACCAAAATATGTCATCCCAAAACATGCCTCTTTGACATGAAAATTATTTTGAACTGAAGACAATTAAGAAGTTGCAACCATAGAAACAGCTATTTCCACTGTCCCCTTTTCTGCTTGAAGACAGGATGTAAATTCCCCTCTTACTGGGGACAGGCTCTTATCAGCCCAGAGACAGCACCAGAGGACTCTGCAAACAAACCTTACTCCATTAGTTTCCTCCCATATATTTATTTACTTTCCCACAGTTTCCAGCCTTGGAAACATAAAACTGCTTTCCTTCTTCCTTTGTCCTGTTGTTTCTCTACAAAGGTACTGCTCTTTGTTGAAGATGCTATATAAGCCACAGTTCTAAGCCACTGCTTTGTGATACTCTTTCTTTATTTTAGGTTTCTCCTGCATGATGAGCACTGCCCACATTAACAAACTGTTTTCCTCCTGTTAATCTTTCTTTGTTAGAGTCTCAGCCGAAAATTAAGATGGGTAGAGGTCAAGTTTTGCCTCCCCTTACACTCCCATCCATCCATCATCCTTTCATCTTTTTAATCCAGTTCTCATCTGTGCTTACATATGTTTATCCATCCCATCTATGCATCCATCCATCCGTCCTATATCTTGAGGGAGACACTGGGGACTCAGTCTTTGCTCTCTCAGAGCTCATATTTTAGTGGAAGAAACAACAAAATAGGTGAGGACTGGCTAAGTGTCATCTTGAGGGATGTATAGAGGGTCATGGGAATTCAGAGGCGGGACACTCAACCTGAACTTGAGGGCTTAGAGAACAGTGAGGTTGAGGCTGAGACCTGAGAGGTGAGTAACAGTTATGCAGGATCTGAACAGGGAACAGTGTTCCAGGCCAAGAGTGAGGAAAAGTGGAAATATTTCTCTGAGGCTGGAGCCCACACCTGGCCGACTCCTCTCCCTCCCCTCTGCCCATCCAAAGGTACTGTCTCTTTGGGGCTTTGCTTAAGACCAGAGCAACTGTGTGGACCTCTAAACCACAAAGACATATCAGAATCCTTATTTGTAGATATGATTCACAAAGCCCTCTTGCTTGGCCTCTCACAGGATCCTCTCCCCCATCCCCCACCCCAATTTAAAATACTTGTGTGAGTATTTGACTCACGAGGAGCGTTAATATGACTGATCTTTTATAGCTGAGTCAGGACTCAACCCTGGTCTGAGAATTCGAAGCTCTTTCCAAGGAACTAGTGAGAGCTTACAGTGTTTCTGTCCACAGAGACCATTCATGTGAGGGGACAAAACCTCCATTTATTTTGCAGGAGAAACTGAGGCCTAGAGGGGAAGTGACATGGCCAAGGTCATGTCTGAACCAGAATCAAGTGTGTCCTGAGCACTAGTACTTTTTCTACCACACCACAGTCTACATTTGCCACGAGCCCGTCCTGCACCCCCAAAGGGCTGGGTTGTAGCTCCAGTGATGCTCTGCATATAGTGAATTCTTGTAAATACTTTCTGGGGGACACAGTCCAAGCTGGGCTCTGGGAGTGGTGGGGATGCAATCTGGAGTCTGGGCTGGGGGAGGGGCTGGGGTTTGTCTCCAGGATAATGGATTCTGCGCTCTGTGGGGGCCAGGCCTCTAGGGGAGGGCCTGCATTGTAGGGAGATGATTAAGAGAGTTTGGAGGAATGGCACTTCAGATCCCTGCCTGGCCTTATGAACGATGTGACTTCGACCTTGTGAACTAAACTCTCAAAGCCTCAGTTTTCTCATCTGCAAAATGAGGTGATTGCATCCACCTCATAGGGCTGTTTTGAGGGTTAAATGAAGTAATGCATATGAAGTGCTTAGCACCATGCCTGACACATAAGTGCTCAATAAATGGTAATTAGTATTTCTGAGGGGCGGGAAGAATGTTTGTATGGGGTCGGGGGCAGGGCAGGGCAGTATATCTCCAGCATTTTCCTGTCATCCAGCCCGGAGATGGGCCTAGCTGACTTCCAGAGGGTATGGGCACCTGGTCTCCACTCTGGGGTGAGTTAGTGTTGATGGCAAAGTGCCCACTTCCTAAGGCCCAACGCTGTCCTGTGTGTGGATCACGTTCTTGCTCCTCCCAGGGCCCATCTGCCCTGTGATTGTGTCTCTAGAAGTGGGGAGGGGCTCAGGAAACCATTTGCACCTTCTCACCCAGGCCGCTCAGAACGAGTACAGGATATTTTCCAGGGCTGGGAAAGAGGTGCCCAAATTACCTGTGACAGGCACCGCAGGTAGCGAGACACTGCCTTCCGAGCAGGGCTGTCCCTGACCAGCTCATCCTCCTTGCAGGGCACCTTGGCCAGAAAAAGCTGCACCTGGCTGGGGGTCATGTTGGCAAAGTCTAGAAACTTCTCGGGGTCCACGGAGCAGCTGAAGGCACACACAAAGCACTTCCCATCGAGGAGGGCCAGCAGGATCCAGACAAGGGGGGCGGCCAGAGCTCTCTGCAGCACAGAGGAGCACATATACCTGGGAGGAGAGGAAGGGAGGGCTCACAAAGTGCCACCAGAATTCAGCTGCAGCAGGAAGGCTACAGGGGAGCTACAAGGACGGACTTCCCTGGTGGGCTTGGAAATCCTGGGCACAGTTACATCGAAGGAAGGGCTACAGCTCCCATGGCAGAGGTCCCAGCAGCAGAGAGCCAGGAAGAAGCAGGGCTGGGGGCCCCAGGAGTCCCAGGACTGGAACACTGGGGAGCTGGTGTTCTTCCTGCTCTAGGCTTTGGAGTAGAGGCTGTTGGTGGTGCCCTGCCCAGGCCAGAAGCATCTAGAGCTTTGCTCCTATTCATGTGGAGGGCCTGAGGGCCCCTGACTTCGGCATGGCCCTGCCTAGGGCTTCGGAGGTAGAGGCGTCTCGGCTCCCAGAGTGGTAGGCTGGAAGCGCTGGAGGGGTCACAACCCCCAGATCAACCTTCAGCCCGAGAGGGCAGAGCCTGGTGGATAAATACCCTGGCTTCCTGGACCCTCAGTGGGACAATTCTGAGGTGTGCTCTACCCAGTCTCTCAGAGGGTCCCCAGAAGGACTGAGTCCCCGCTGCCTACTTATTATCACATTCTTCCCAGAGCCTGCCCCCGGGGGAGCCTAAACTCAGACATCCCTGCTGGGTGACCCTCCCAGAGGCAGCACCTTAAACACCTCCCTCCAGTGTCTGGGGAGCCCACCCTATGACTGTCCCTCGGTGCCTCTCTTGACCTGCTCCACCTGCCTAGTGGCCCAGATTGGGTGTTGGTCACAGGGCAGGAGCCCAGCGGAGCTGTACCCACCAGATCCCAGGGGAAGAGGTAAGTGGCACGCTGAGTGCGTGTGACCCTCCCTGCGTGGCTGAATCACAGCGAGCACAGAACTCCCCGGGAACACCAAAAGAGGCTGTGCACAGAATGCAGACGTTTTTAGCTTGGATTATATACAGAACATAAGGTGGTGTGTGCTGGGTGGGAGTGGGTGTGTCTGTGCATGGCCTAGCCGGTGGTGAATTATAAATACACTGTGGGCAGGGGCGGCTCCAACGTTTTCTATGTGGGGCAATATAGTTAAAAGGTGGAACCGAGGACTTGTTATGAAGTCACATTACGTGCCCTTGAGAACACCTCAATTGTCCATATCAAAGAATAGTGGAGAGGGGGAGACTGGGTGAGCTAAAACCCACCACCCCCTCCTGCCACTGCCCATGGAGCTAGAGCATTTCGGTATTTTGCCTAAAACACTCAGAGCAGTGGTTCTGGCTTGGGCTGACTTTGAATCTGAGCCTCTTCCTAGCTGTGGAAGCTCAGCCAAGTTACTTAACCTCTCTGCTCCTTAAAAATGGGTCTAATACAGAAGCAGACCGAGGTGGGAATTCAGAGGCCATGCACACGCAGCAGTTGGCACAGAGCTTGGCACTGAGTTGGCCGGGGAACATTGTGAATTATTAAACTCCATCAGCTGATCTTGATACGGGGCACCGACCAGGTACAAGGCTCTGACGACACAGTGATACAGCAGATCGGGTCCTGGCCCTTGAGGAGCTTGCAGGAGAGGGGATACAGCCTCCAAACCAGTGGTGCCTTTCATACATACAGTGTGGCTATGCACGTCATAGGATGGGCCTTCATGCTCATGGGGAGTTATAATCCATGACCAGCCCGTCAGATGTGATCTGGATAATTCTTGGGAATCCTGTGTCATTCATGCGGCTCCAGTACTGGCTGCAGAAAGATCGCAGACAGGAATAGAAATATGTTTCCAGAGTGGAAACTGGCAAATTGGTCTCTGTGAACCAATGATGCTTTGGTATCACTTCCCAGGGGAAAGCAGGGGACATACCTGATAGTGCCTGTGGGAGTGGGGGGGAGCCCTGACAATACTCGTGGGGGTCACGGGTTTGGGGTGCCCCTGGCATTGCCTCTGTGGTTGGGGAAGCCCTTGACAGTGCCCTCGGGTAGCTGGGTAGGGTGGGATCGCACCTGATGATGCCCGGGTCCTTCCTCCGGCGCCCGGTGGGCCGGCGCCACTCCTCAACCATCACCACGGACTGCCGGTTGGCCAGGAGGCCGCAGAGGAAAAGGGCGAGCGGGGGTGTGAGCAGCAGGCCCAGGCCGTAGAGGGCATTGTAGCGCGCCAGGCAGGGGCAGTTGAAGTCGAAGGAGGAGTACAGCTTGACAGTGACTGCGGCCAGCAGCAGGCAGATGCCGTTCATCACGGACTCGGAGCTGGACTGGACGTGCTGGAACAGCATGCGGAATTTATCCATGGCTGCAGCCCGGGTTGGGGGCAGCTGTGGGTGGGAGACACTGAGGTTTCAGCTGCTCTCCAGGTCAATGCCAGGGCACTCTGGGGCAAGCCCGGGGCTGTAAGAGGTTCTTCCTTCTCTTCCAAGAGCCTGAGGGGACAAGGAGAAGGTGATGTCCAGCTCCCAGCCCAGCCTCCCGTGGTCCAGCCAAGGATGTCAGGCAAAGGCAGACTCTCACCACGAAGGACTGTCCCCAGTGCCACTCCCCTCCTCTCTGGGGGAATGAGTCACGGCTCTGTGACCAGCCAGCTCAAAGCACCTCTAGGCAAATGGGCCCCACCCTGTCCCTCCATCCCTCCCCAGTCCATTCCCTTTTCTCTTCAGGGTTTGGACACTGGGGCCAGACAGCTGGTGAGGCTTCCCGTGGGGGACAAGCAAACTGGGTGTGGTGAGGCCATGGTGCTGGTGGAGCCAATTTTATTTTTTGGTCTTGGTTAAAAACATGACTTGACTCAGCTGAGCCCAGGAAGATTTCATGGGGGCTTTCACGCTGGAAGGAACCAGGAGGGGCACCTTACCCTGCCTGAAGGCTTCCTGGAGGAGAGGCCTCTTGCAGAGCATTTAAACCATGTTTCAGTATTTGCCAGGGTTGAGGAAGGGAAGGCCTTCCAGACAAAGGGTACCACGTGGGCAAGGGCATGAAGGTGAGGAGCAGCCAGGTGTGGGTCAGCAGTTTGGGGTTGCTTGAATGTGGTGTTAGGGCATGTCGAAGGGGTCAGGAGGGCTCAGCGGGTGCCTGCAACCTTCTCCATTTTACTCAGCTGCCCTCCAGTTCTGACCACTAACTGGCCCAGGGCTCCCTAAAACACAGCTCCCACTATACCACTCCTCTGCTCAAGTGTGACCGGGGCCCCCTCAGCCTCCTTACCTCAGCATTCAAGGCCCTCCTAACTGTACCCAGATGTGTCCTCCCACCTCCATGACTTTGCTGACACCATCCTCCTTGGAGAACCCCGTCCAACCCCCTGCCCTTCCAGAGGCAACTCAGGTGCTGCCCTTGCACCAAGCCACCCCTGGTGACCTCAGCTCATCTACCTCCCACTTGGCCCTTGGAAAGGCTGCCTGAGTTTGCTGCTCCTCTCTCCCAGCTGTGGGAGTGGGTCTCCCAGCTGGGACGGGACCTGCACCTGCTGGTTCCTGCAACCTCTAGCTGGGTGCTAAGCACGCCACAAGGTTGGCAGATGTTTGTTCTCTGTGACGTTGATGCTCAGACCCCCTTTTTTCATCTCTAGCTCTGTCCTCTCTGCCCTACTTCTTGACCTGCACCTGCCTCCCTGTCTGTTCCTAGCAAGCAAACGGGATGTAGTTCCGGCTCTTATCTCTCCATGTCTCTCACTCATCTGTCCCTCCCTCTGTCTCCAACTCTACCTTTCTCTGTGTGTGCAGCTCTCTGTGACCCTCAGCATGTCTTTCTGTGTGTTTCTCTGTCTCTGTCCCTCTCTCTGTGCTGTGGCCTCTTCCTGTCTGTCTTTCCCTCTTCCTCGCCTGCTGCCCATCTAGTAGCACCCCTGTCTTATTACTGGCCCCTAGTCCTGACACTGGCAGCCTGACTTGGAGAGAGGAGTAGAGGCAGCTACAGGAGCCCAGGGCTGTATTCCTGGAGTCACAGATCCATGGGCCTTGGCCTGGAGTATGCGCTGGGGGTGAGGCATCCAGACCCCAACTACTCGGGCTCTTCCTCGGTCTTCACCCCTCAGGCTCCCTCGCTCCCAGCACCCGGCTACCCCTGAGTAAAGAAGAACCTCAGGAACTGGGATGGCCTTGAACCCACTGACCCCTGCTCCACCCAGCCTGCACCAGTGGGCATCTGGATCTCCCAAGGATGCCTTTAGTTAAATTCCTAATCAGCCCTTCCTCAGCCCCTGGGTCCTCATGGCCATGAGTGCAGCTTCCCGCCAGCCCCCTGCAGCACGTGAGTAAGCATCCTCCTGACTCCGTCCCGGGAGGCCCAGCACCGCCTTCCGTCTCCGCGTAGCCCGCCGGGGCTGCGGCAGCTGCACTCACCACCCTTCCTCCCATATTATCAAACAACTTTTAGAAAATGGGAATATCTCCATTTTTTTCTGATTAAACACACCATCATGAAAATTTTAAAAACAGACCAAGAAAGTGTCCCCATCACTGCAAGCCATCCCCACTACCAGTCTCCCTGTCACTGCATCTGTGTGTGACCTTCCAGACTTGTTGCAGCCCAGCATGGACACGTGCGGGCTGGCCCACCTGGGACCCCTTGGGAGATTCCCGGGAAGCACCGCGAGTGAAGCTCTGGGTGCCGCTAGCCAGGAGCACCAGGCTGCCCATGAGACTTCCCCTCTGAGGCGGGTCTCTTTCTTCTCTTAACCCTCCTGACAGAGGGCTCACTGTGTCTTGATTTCAGCTTCTCTGGAGGACGACAGCCCAGCAGCTCAAAGGACCCATGGGACCTGCAAAATGAATTTTGTGTAGTTCACTTAGCCTGTATTTTAAGTCAGACCATCTCCAATGTGTCCTGCAAACTTCACAAGTGTCTGTGCAATCTGTACCTCCAACGAGGCAGCAAGGAACAGAAGCCCCAGTCTTCATTATTATGTGTGTTTTACCTCATTTGTATGGTAGTCCAGGCCCTGTGAGACAGGATGACCTGAGTAGGGGAAACGGGGAGGGACTGGGACAGGGCGGGAGAGCCGTCAGAGGCAGCGAGTGTGACTCTGAGGAGGAGAGCGTGGGGCGGCCAAGCCCCTACAGCATCCTGGGCTCCAGACTAGCAGACAACTGCCACCAAATGCAGCTCCTGGAGAGGCTGAGTGTCATGTTCCAGGTCACACGGCCTGGTGGGGACAGAGCCAGGAAGCCGGATCCTCCTGTGCCTTCTAGCCCTGGTCACACTCTAGGCCGCTGACAGAAAAGGGAACTGTCCCGGCCACGGCCAAGCTTCTCAGACCTGAACCACAGGGCTGAGCCCTGAGCAGGGAGGGGAGGGTGTTGGGCTGGAAGTGTCTGAGCACCCCTCTCTCCCATTCTAGTCTCAGGGAGGGGAGGGCGGCCATCAGGCCCCCAGCTGCCTCTTCTTGGGAGTTTCCAAAAAAGAATGAACAGAGTTTCTGGGTGAACACTGCAGGAAACTGGGACAAGGTCTCTCCCAGGCCAGCCTGCTCACAGCTCCAACCTCTGAGAGGCAAGACAGAGCTCCCAGGTCTGCCTGGGCCAGGCCCCACAGGGGAGCCGCTTGCTGTGGGACTGCACTGGCCCTTGCTAGGTATTGACTGGAAAACGCTCAAGAAAAGAAAAAGGCAAGAAGGTAGTCACAACTTAAAGGGATATTACCTCTCAGGGTGAGCTTGACATTAAAAAAGTCTGTATTTTCTAAATTGTCTACTTCATAATAATGATTTTCTAAATTTCCCAATAAAAATCATAAAATATATTACTGGGAAAACTCAAAGGGATTAAAGGACAAGGCAAAAGGGCCCGGGATCATCTTTTGTTACCTTGGAGCCCAGGTCTGCTGAACTAGGAGAGGCAGAAATGCAGCAAAAATAGGAGAAAGACTGGTTTTACTCATGTGTGTGAAAAGATATTAACTTGTAGATCTGCAACAGGATAAGGTCTTAGACTAGATTTTCTCAACTCTCTACCCCACCCCAAGGCTCTTCAGAAGAGTTCTTCAAGATCTTTTAATTCTGGGAAATTTTTTAAAAGTTAGATTTTCATTTTAATGATGACAAATCTGTTTAGCAGTTTTAAACATGTGTTCACTTGCAGTTGAAAGATCTTTATAGGACAAGCCTTTGGTTTCTTTTCTTTTCAAATCTTGGGGGCCTTCTGGATTATTTCCTTCAAAAGGAATCTGGGTATTATTTGAGAAACATTGGTTTGACTATTCTTGACGTGTCAGTGATGGAGAGGGCTCTTGGGGCCAGGTGGCCCCCTACTGGTGGAGTCGGGGTGTCTGATGTATGCATGACATGTGTGGGGTGTGTGTACATGTGTGTGTGTCTTCAGAAATACAGGTGTGGCTGTATTTCTTCTTTCTGTGTTGGGAGCACGCTCTCCCCCGAGGTTTCCTTTGAAAGGAAGATATTGGATGCATGTCCCACTTCTCCCTCAGGCCTGGAAGGCTCTTGTTCCCTGTGTCCAGCAGAGCAGCGGTGCCCTGTCCTTGTGAGACCTGGTTCTCTTCTACCCCGGTGCCAGAGGCCACCACAGGATCAGGGTCACAGGCCTTTCTGGTCTGTCTCAGGCAGACCTGGATGAAAGCAATGTGGCATTTCTGTGGGCTCCTCTCTGGTGACTATGTCGAACCACGTGGCCCCTGAGGGCCTGCAAAGGGAATGAAAAAGAAAGGGGGACTCCGACAGTGGCTTTGGAACAATTGCTTAACCATTGGGGAAAAAAAAACCTTAACGTGAATCTCTACCTCATTCTTGAGATCAAAATTCACCCCAATCGCTCAAAGATTTAAATATAAAAATCAAAACCATAAAAACTCTACAAGAAAATATAGGTGAATTTATTCATAATCAGAGGCTAGGGAAGAGCTTTGTGAACAGAGTACAGAATTCATTAGCTGTGAAGGAGAGGATGGATAAAGTGAGCCTCGTATCTTCTGTGGGCAAAATACCAATAAGCGAAGTAAAAATAACAGACTGAAAAAAGGCATTTGCCACGCACATGTCACACAAAGGCCCATTTTCCTTAATATGCAGAGGAATCATACATGTCAGTAAAAAAGATGAACAGTGGGCAAAAGATGTCAACAGGCTAATCACAGGAAAGGAAAGACAAGTGGCCAACAATCCTGCAAAGATTCTAGTCCTCGTTATAATTAAATATGAATCTGAACAACCAGGTGCCTTTTTAAAATTACCAAGTTGTTAGAAACTAAAAGATTGACAATATCCAATGCGGGTTTGGGGAAACAGCCACTTTTATACGCTGATGGTTGGAGTACAAATTTGTATGGATTTTCCTAGAACAATTTGGCAAAACGTATTTAAAGCAAAAATTTAAATATACACGCCCTTTGACCTAACACCTAGCTTTGTATTTGCCCTATGGATAGATTTTTTGCAGAAATATAAGTGAAAAAG